TTTCAGCCAAGCCAAAGGGGTTGGCCTAAACTTCTTGCGGTTTTCTTTAATCTCGTTCGCTCTAAAAGAACATGAAACCAGTCTCCTTCATAACTGCCTCCCTGCAAATCTGTGGGGATCAGTTAACTGCAGAATGTCATGAAACGGGTATAACAAAATGTTCTGTGGAAGTTTATCAGTTTGACACAATTGCTCATGGAGTGTAGCCTGTTTCTTCAAATACATGTAGAGTACCATGAATAGGTAGACAATTATACAAGCCTAGCTCATTTCTATTCTTATGGCTTCTGGACTGCATGCATCTTGGGGCTCAATGGGCAGTTGGCTAGCACCCTAATCGGGCAAAAGGGGAAAAAACCCTAAAAGACCCTTTGCTCTGGGGGGGGGGACTGTTTGATATGTTTTGAATAGGCCTACCATGTGCAATCAGTTTCCTCCAGGACACCTGAATTTTAGCTTTTTTTCTTTCGCAGTACCTGCATCTGGACACCTGAATTTTAGCTTTTTTTCTTTCCCAGTACCTGCATCTGGAGCATAGACTTGAATGATGGCTGTGTTGAAAGGCTTTCCATGAAGTCTAGTTGATACTCTAGTCAGAATTTGCATTATAGCCCCAAATATATTCGCCACATTTGTACCTCACAAATAGAACCACACAATTTATTCTGATTTGGTCATTTCAGCAAGACAATATTATTTAATTGTTTGATGAAGATGTCTTATACCAATTAACTTTTCCTCAGTTGCACTCATCAAAATTTAATGTATCCTTAATAACTCCTAGGGAACTCAGCTGCAGTATCAATCATAGTGGAATTGCAGTGCTTTTAAACACAACTCTGACAGATACTTGAAGGGCCTTTTTACTACATGTGAGTCTGGGTCAACAAATAACTCGATTCCTGGTTCATTCAGGAAAAAATCATATCTTCATGGTTCATGGTTTGCGGACTTTCACAAACCATAAACCAGGACTAACTGCCATTTTGTTGGTTCATCTGCAGTATCAATCATAGTGGAATTGCAGTGCTTTTAAACACAACTCTGACAGATACTTGAAGGGCCTTTTTACTACATGTGAGTCTGGGTCAACAAATACTGTAACTCGATTCGTGGTTCATTCAGGAAAAAATCGTATCTTCATGGTTCATGGTTTGCGGGACTTTCACAAAACATAAACCAGGACTAACGGCCATTTTGTCGGTTCGCGACCATCTCCAGTCAGGACAACAAAAAAGAGACTTTATTTCTTCCTGTACATAATGTATGATCAGCATATGGAATTGCCTGCCACAAGATGGCTTTAAAAAGGGATTAGACAAGTTGATGGAGAAAGAGAGGTCCGTTGATGGCTGCCAGACATTATGGGGATGTGCCCAGAATGGGCAGTTAGTGGCCTTATAGCTGTTGCTGGATTGCCACTACCATCATCCTTCACTTTTGTAGAGATGCCTTCCAGCAACATCTGTAAGGCTGGCAGTTGCCCCATCCCTGGATGGGCAGCAGTTGCTGGGGATTGCATGAGGAGCCTGATGGTTACCTGGTTGCCATAGAAACGAGAATGCTGGGTTGAGTGGGAGTTAAGTCAGTTAGGGAGGTTGGGAGTTAACTCCACTTCAAGCCTCTATGTTGCTTATGTTGTCACTATATTAGGTTGTCTGCCTATTGCTGGTTCATACATGAATACAAATGAATAATTTGTGAATGTTTGGTCTGGTTATTGGTAAAATAAGAGATTGTGCTATTTGCTAGGCCAAGCAGTTATTGCTTGAATGTCCGAGGGTTACTTTTTAAAACTAAATTTCTAAGATTCTTGGCTAATCCTACTGCAGAAAGTAAAATTTCCCCCTCTTTGGGTCCAGTACCTCTCTCCTCATCCTCCCATCCTTCCAAGGTTGGTAAAATAAGCACCCAGCTCACAATGTGTAGCTTGCATAATTAATTTGTAAACCAACCAGAGAGTGCTTTTAAGCGCTCTGGGGTGGTATGGTTACTTTTTAAAACTAAATTTCTAAGATACTTGGCTCGGTGTATTTTAATCCTACTGCAGAAAGTAAAATTTCCCCCTCGTTGGGTCCAGTAGCTCTCTCCTCATCCTCCCATCCTTCCAAGGTTGGTAAAATAAGCACCCAGCTCACAATGTGTAGCTTGCATAATTAATTTGTAAACCAACCAGAGAGTGCTTTTAAGCGCTCTGGGGTGGTATATAAGTAGCATGCTTTGCTTATTTTGCTTCTTAATGCAGAAAAAAAATCTTTCTGCAAAATATTTGGAAAATCTAAGTATTAAGCAGATCTTGTATAAGCTTTACAAATCACAGAATTCACCTTTCTGGTTGCAGAGATGGGGTTAGTTGGTGCAAAGTTTTATTTTTATTTTTCTGTTGGCTCACTTTATCAGAGTGACTCTTGCAGGAAAAAGTATGTTATTAACTATCTTTGGGTAACACAGTGTAAGTAGCAGCTGATTTTACAATATAAGCAAATACATGTGTTTAGTCAAAAGAATGAAATGGGGAGGTTGCAAGTTTCTGTTTAGTCAAAAGAATGAAATGGGGAGGTGGCAAGTTTATTATATTTTCCTTTTAACTGGCTTTTCTCCTACCCTAGAGCCAGGTGAAAAAGAGTGAGACCCATGCTAAAAAGGAAAACAGGTCTCCCAAAGGCAGAGATGAGCAATCAGTCTGAGAAAGACAACCAGGTAAACTTAGCATTGTAAAAAAAAAAATGGTATATTAAGACTTTTGGCAAAGCAGTTGAAGTTTAGCTGTAACTCATTCTTTTTTGCTTCACTGGCTGCCTTCTAATTTAAATTCCAGTGCACTTAATTTTTTTAATAGTATCACTGTTCTTTTATTAAGTGCACTTAATTTTTTTAATAGTATCACTTTTCTTTTATTTTTGTTGAGTGGCTTTCTCCTCCTTGAGAATCTTTCTCAGGAAAGGAGGGATGAGAAACGATTCAAACGAATCCGTGGGTTGGATGTCCCTCTCTTCTCTCTAGAAGTACAGAGTGGATCAAAGCCCTGAGAGAAAGAAGCGGAAGACAGAGGATGAGGAAAGGAAAGAAAAAGCAACTGCGAGTAAAAAACGGAAGGAAGGAGAGAAAAAGAGAAAGAAGAAAAAGGACAAAAAAGAGAAGGTACAAGATACCTGCTGCACAGAACTGGACAGGATCTATCTCTTTCTTCGTGCTTACACCAGCAGAGGCCATTTTGGCTTCCCTAACATGATTCACTTGAATATGGGTTAACAACTTAGTGCTCTATGATCGTTATAATACCATAAGTAGAACTTCAATTTCTCTTTGCTGCATCTCCAAAACAGTGCACATTCAAAGATGCTGTTCACATGTTCTGCTCTACCTGTCAAAAACAGGTACATTATGCCCATTTGCAAAATTTCCCTCATTTTGCATGGTTTTGTTTTGGCTTTGCCTGTCTCTAGGGAAGTCGGGGGGGGGGGATATTGGACATTGCACCAAAGTCTCTCTGCAAACTGTAGCCAGGGAGTTGGGAGGTATTGGGCATAGACCTTTAAACATGGCATCTCAACTAGAAGGGTTAGCTCTTTGCTTCCTTCTGCAACCTTAAGGCCGGAGTCCCAGAGAGCACAATTCTGGGACTGTAGCACCACCATTTGGCCCGTTCCCCCTTCTGTTTTGAAACCACAGAACACATTTGGCTTGACATTCACTCCAGCCTGGCTAAAATGTTCTCCTTTCCCAGTCCAAGGACAGCGAAGGTCGATCTGGAAGGAAGAGGAAACGCTCTCACAGCCGTGTCCAGATTACTACAGGGAAACAGCCTGTCTCCATCAGAAAAGAGGACAACCTGGATGAGGAAACCTTCAACATAGTAAGGATTTTCTCCTCGGACACAGAGAGACAGGAGGGGAAGTGCCTGGGAGTCTTGCTGAATCCTTCCCTTCCCTGTACCCTCCAGTGTATCTCTGATTTGGAATGGTTGGGGAAGGAGGATGAGTGAGGAAGGAAGGTTGAAAGGTCCTCTTTCCATCTCTGTTGTGCCACTGACGTGCACCTTTGCTCTCTCTCTTTCCTCTTCCTCTCCCAAGTGCAAAGAGATAATACGGCCAGTCAGAAGGGCCCTGAACCACCTGCAGAAGCCGCGCAAGGGGCTTTCTTTACAAGAGGAGGTGGAGCGCACACGGATCTCCCTGCTGAAGATTGGAGATCATATCTCAGAACACTTAAAAGTGTATTCTGACCAGGAGGAGATCAGGCTCTGGAGAACGTAATCTTTCCCCCTCTCTCTACTAATCACCGAATCACCTACTCCCAGGACACAGAAACAAAAACCCAGATTAGACAACGCAAAAGGGGCTCACTTGGGTGTCCATGGGGCTCCGTAGATGGGTTGCAGCCTAGAATACAGTGGAGCAGAGGGTGGGGTTGAGTTGAAAGGAGGATGGGGATTTTAGTTCCATAATATTTGGAGGGCCCAGTGGTCCAGAACCCCTCTACCGAATCACCTACTCCCAGGACACAGAAACAAAAACCCAGATTAGACAACGCAAAAGGGGCTCACTTGGGTGTCCATGGGGCTCCGTAGATGGGTTGCAGCCTAGAATACAGTGGAGCAGAGGGTGGGGTTGAGTTGAAAGGAGGATGGGGATTTTAGTTCCATAATATTTGGAGGGCCCAGTGGTCCAGAACCCCTCTAGACTGACTGGAGATGGTTGTGTCAGCATCTTGAGAATCGGTCCCACGATGCACAACCATGAGCCTTTCCTTTAGGAAGATGGGAAGGTGCTGTCAGATCATTGGTCCATCTAGGCAGAGGTTGGAGCACCTCCTCTGTGCTGGAAAAAGTGTGGTGGGTGGCACAGGCCAGACCGTAGGCTGAATTTCCCAGGCTGTGTCTTTCTTTGGTGGCTCTTTCTGTCCGAGGCCTGGAATGACCAAAGTTACTGCCGAGAGGGAGAGGGCAGGGAAACGGATGCCATCTAAAGCG